CCCAGACATTCCTGTGGATAATCTTTTCCATTCCTCTCCTCGCTGCAGCAAAAAGAGCCCAGATCGCAGCACAAGGACGGCATTGTAAGGCCGTTTTTTAAATGCTCCCTCTTGCGCACTTCATACGGGTGCTTTTCTTCTAAAAAATAATATTAATAAAAAACTGAGGGCCTTTGAAATGAAGTTGGAACCGAATAAGAACGCTGTGTTTCTCACGGTCCCCTTCCAGTAAAAACGTAAAACAATGTAAAACCACTGGAAGCCGAAGTGCTGCCACATCAGGGATTCAGAGGTAATGCTTGTTTGACTGCTTCATTTGCCAACAAACCCATGTCATATTCTTTGCTCTGCGCACTAAAAAAATATGTTTTTTTTAAAGGTTTCTAACACATTTTCTCAAATTATTCTTTGTGTTACAGTTTCTTTCTTTGCCTCCTTTCTGTTTTTTTTTTTTTTTTTACTGTCAAAGCACCTCATTACTGCTTTTCAATTCCACAGTCTGTCGACACTCTCTCAAAAGCTAAATAAACTCTTACTTAAAATAATTATTTTAAAATATCAAATTGTAACCTATACCATAGCGGTCATGTCAGTTTCTGTTTTTAGTTTACCAGAACATGCAAGAGTCCGGTCTGCTCAGTTGAGGTTACCTCAATATGAACATCCATATCATTTTTTAATTTCTACTTGAGGTTTGTGCATAAACCGATATTGTCACAAAAAAAAATATGAAGGTTGTCATGTTTTAAACAGCAGAAATGGCTCACATACTGTCCATTTTCACCCCATAATCACACTTGCTTTTACATAAACAGAAAGACACACATTATGGCTTTAAACTTAATTTACAAAAAACATACTTAAATCATGTCCAAAAAGATGTCATTTACAGTGGGGTTGTTCAGAGATTTCAATGGAACTTGATCTTTTGTTACTATTTTTGCATTCAGCTAATAATTCAGCATTGTCTTTTTTGCTACAAGTTTTTTTATCAGTGATAAAAAAGACCTGTCAGAAAATATAATAAAATGATTTTATATAAAAAATACATACAATTGATTAATAATACTAATATGAATAAAATAAACACACAAATAAATAATAAAAAATATATGTATATATATATATATATATATATATATATATATATATATATATATATATATATATATATATATTATGTAAAAGTTTTTAAAACACCATTTAAGTCCTAAATTTCACTTTCAAAGAATGGGTCCTTTATTGAAGGGTTCTATTTAGCACCAAACTTGCTAAATAGAGCAGATTTCTTGCAGTGTGGGAATACATTTCCGAAAAAAATAGGTATATAGGTAGCGGTCGGTATCTTTGCTGTAATTTGAATGGAAGCGGGTGATCTAACAATATAGCTCTCCCAAGTCCCGACGTTATTGCGGAACAGCATATCTGTGATTTTCTCGCACATCATCTGCATAACGGTCCTTAGAGCAGGCTTTACCAACATGGGAGAGCAAAGTCTGGATGCGCTTTCCTTCAGCTTGCATTAGAAAACAGTCATTTTACTAGTCCCATAGTCTGATGTATGGGAGTCTTTTTCATGCGTCATAGACCCATTGCACGATGTGATAATACCTCAAAGCTTTACCCTTTAGCAGTCGCAAGACTGGAACCTCAGGTTTAAGGTGGCACTCATGTCTCATCACAAAGGGGCAAACAAAACTGACATTTAGCCTAATAGCCTTGCACAACCAACAGTTTTATCTGTTATCTGTCTCCCTTGGTAGTACCCAATTTAAATGTGAGATTTTGGAAACCAGATCTAAATTTAGTGGAAATGGTTGGGTCGGGTAGAAAACAGGAGCAGTCGGGTGCAGAATAAAACCTTGGTGAAGCAGGTCTGAAAAATTTGTCCCGCTCAGATCTCTAACCCAAATAACCTTAATTAGGTCCTGTTTAGAGCCATTTCTCCTAAGAGTGTGATTTGTGTGTGATTTGATCATCCCTGTACAAGAAACAAGCTACGACTGAAACACATCCTTTGACTCTGAAGAAACACATTCCCTAATTAGAAACATGGCTATTACGACTGCTATAAACGAGCGACTCCAGTTAGGCGAGCCACCACACCAGACCACAGGGTTTCCAATGTAACCGTTTCACCGCGGACCGACAGCTGAGCACCATGCAGGGTTTTAAAGACTGGTTCTCCACAAGCTCCATTATGGGTTCTGGAAACGACAATATGTAGACAGAAATCATTTTTATAGGCAAACTCATTTATGTTGCCGATGCATCCAAGACCACCACGCCAGCTTATGGAAATATTTAACATTTTTCACAAACAGAATGGCTAGAATGCCAATGTCTCCAAGTAAACCATATGCAGAAAGGATTCTTTGGCTTAGTTGATGTATAAAAGTAGTCCTTTGTTGCGAGCTATGCTTGTGGATTGTCTGTAGTAACTATTAAAATGCTTGCCATGCCTTTCAGGGTTGAGAGAATACAAAACATGCATTCAATCAATCGCATGAATACACGAGGGATAAAAGAGACTTCAACTTGAGTTTCTGAACAAATGCTGAACCCTTTGGTGTTTTTGTCAAATAGATTTAATAAAAACAATAATACACCAAGATGTGACTAGTCAAATTCAATATTACTTTAAAAGAAAAATCTAAACGTTTTTTCATTTTAATGCTATGGATATGAATGAGGTCTTCCACAATGCACCAGGCACTTGTGTAGGGTCACAGAAATGACTCACTCAAAGTGTGTACAGCAGAGTTTCCGAAAATCAATGGTTCTCATAAATGGCTGCCATAAATGTGCTTCAAGTTTGCTTTAATGGAGAAAATGTCATGCTAAAAGCAAATGATTAAACTATAATTTCATGCATACCTAGCGTATTCACTTTTTACAATCTTTTACATTTTTTAAATCATCAAAACATATTTTTGGTTGCTGATACCAAGGTCCTTAAACTACAATATTTGCAAGTTATTTAGTCAGTTAGTGGAATTATAGAGTTTCACTTAAACATGAAATGATGCAGATGTCAAAATTACATTTACTTCATTACACACCAAAAAAAAAAAAAAAAAAAAAATCAAATTTAATTTAATTATTTAGCCCAACATTGTAAACATATCCATATTTGACCCAGCACTGTACTAGATTTTTTTAGCAACGTGTTAAGTCCTTACTAAAGGCACAATTTACAATCTAACTTTAAAGCTAAAGGATTCAGAATTGATTCTTAAGTGGTTCATAAATCTTATGAACTGATTCAGCAAGATGTGAACTGATATACTTCAAAATGTTACACTTAAAAAAAAGTCATTCAAATTTAATTGACAAAAATGAACCCAATGTTGTATATTTCTATATTTGACCCATGACTGTGTTAAAACAACCCAGCATTTTCTACAGTGTACTACTAATCATTTTTACACCGTGTTCAGGCATTACTTGATGCACAATATACAATCTGACGTCAAAACTGAAGGATTCAAAATTGGTTCTTATAAGTGATTCATGAGTCTTCTGAACTGATTCGACAAGATGTGAACTAAGGGCCAACTCACACTATGCTATCCAAACCGTGCCCAGGCCCGTTTCGTTTGAGAAGTGTGAGTGCTCTGAATCGTGAGCCTGTCCAACAATCGTGAATCGTGAACCTAAGCGCGGTACGCTTGTGTTTGAGTGCAAAATGCGCCTAAGCCTGTAACTGAAAGAAAGATGTGACTCTTAAGGAACTGTTTCTTATGCATTTATTAATCATTCTTACCGTTCAACAAACACAAACTGTCATAGTTTATTAAAGACGCAAACCCCTCACTGCACTACAGCTGCACCTTCAGCAAACCTCCTAATTGCTGTAGCACGAGGACTTTATGATTGTTTATGAGCGTCAAAAGTGGCTGATCTATTCGACGAAATATTTGACAGCGTGTCACCGCATTCCAAACAACTAAAACAATATAACTAGAGAAATCTCCACTGTGCTGAGTGAGAGCGCTTCTCTACTGAACAGAACATCATCGATGACGTAAGCGTGCCCAGGCTCGAATATATTGTGAGTGCGGGCCGTCGGAGGGATAAGCGTGCTTTGGCCCGGTTCAAGGCAACAGTACACAGTGTGAGTATGCATTAATATACTTTATTACACTCTAAAAAAAAAAGTTAATTGAATTCAAATTTAATTGAAATAATGAACCTAATGTTGTATATATATATATCCATATCTGACCCAGCACTGTGTTGAAACAACCCAGCATTGTTTAAAAGGAATAATTTAAGCACTTTGTTCCGTCATTACTTGATGCACTATATAAAACTTTAAAACTGAAGGATTCAGAATTAATTCTTAAGTAATTCATGAGTCTTCTAAACTGATTCGCCAGAGTCTTTCATTTAGAAACTAAGCAATGAAGATTGCACTATATATTTGCAGCAAAAATGTAATATGATACATGTAACAAAACAGGCTTACACGCAAGCGAGCAGTAATTCATTCTCCACATACCACAGAGTCACATCTGGAATGTGCAGTACCACTACCCTTAAAGATCACTTAGAGAAGAGCGATTGCTAACATGTCCATCAGCCGTTTAAACCAGCATAACAAACAGTAAATCACACACTGTAGCACTGCAGAAACATCTGCAGGGTGCCAGACACTCTTTCACAGTTGAAACTGTATTTGTATGTGTACATATGTGGTGCATGATGTGTCTTGTTTCTTGCAGACGCAGACATATTACAAGACCAGACATATTTGTCATGAGTTATAGCCAAGCACAGTGGAAAGCAGTTTAAGGCTCTAAATATGACTTCAGTGCATTGATTTATGCAAGTATTTTGAATGTTCTTCAAAGTAAGAACCATGGGGTTTCATGGGAACAGTTGAGGCACACAAAAAAGGCAGAATTATTTTGTGGTGGAGCTGCAAAGCTGCCAAAAGTGAAGTTACTGTTTGGAGTTTAGGCACTATGAAGAAAATTTCTGAATATGCACGTTACCTGTAGAAAGCCTGCGTTGATGAAGAGCACACATTCCGCTGAAACACGTACATGCTTCTGCTCGTCCTCTCTGAGGTGGCGGCGGTAGTGAGCACTGGGGCTTCAGGAACCCTATGGAAAACACACAAGAATGAACGTTACTATATTTAGATTACATAATGAAAAAACAAATACACATAATTCAAGTAAACATAACTGAGGTGAAGTAAATATTGAAAAATATTCAAACACTGTAAAAGTAATTTCACATTTCGGTAATAAGACAATGCATTTTATGTATGTAGAAAATTTTGTTAAGCAAAATTGAACTTGAAGCTACTTGCTAGTCTGTAGTTGTAAATTTTGTTCATTATACATACATAAATGCTCAATACTTTACTTAGATCTTACTAACTGCATATTAAGACACTGCCACTTTATCATATTTACAAGCTTTATACTGTTTTGCATTATACTAAACTTTTTGAAACTATATACTGTTTTGCATCTGCACAACTCTGGTTTGCACTCCATGTCAAGTGCCCTTAAGTGGAATTAAGTTGGTAACATTTTTTTTTTACTTATATGTTTAGATTATATTATATGTGTAATTGTATTTTTTTTATTCTACTTTTTGTATTAATATTATATCTCTAAGAGTCTGTGAGTAGTGAAATTTCGATTCTTTGTATGTCTGGTGCATGTGGTTGAGTTAGCAATAAAGCTGACTTTGACTTACACTTTTACTTTTATTTATACAAGTATGTACAAATGTTTGAGTGTATTTCAATTATGGACAAAATTGACTTATAAATACCCATTAAGTTAAAACCACTAAGATTTGAGAACCATGACATATTTAGAAGGGGGAAAAAATACTTTTTTACTATTATTATTTGCCAGAACTACAGTCTATAAATCTAAATTGTACTTTATCACTGAATATGGATTTAATTCAACATAAAAATTGGAACTGAATAACAGAAAGCTCAAAGGAAAATACATAATGACTAAAATAAAAACTACACAATATGCTTTAAAATATCTTCAACATATGCAGAGAGTGCAAGAGGATCCAAACAGATCAAAATATCTCACACACACACACACACACACACACACACACACACACACACACACACACACACAAACACACACAGACACACACAGACACACACAGACACACACAGACACACACAGACACACACAGACACACACACACACACACACACACACACACACACACACACACACACACACACACACACACACAGAGAGTTTGGTCCCTTTGTATAGATCTATACATATACATTCACACATATTTACCCAGCAAGCATTTATTGTTTTTTAGAAGATGTCTAAAAGATGTCTAATAGATGTCTAAACATAGTCGTCTTGGCTAAAACAAGGCTATATTTATCTTAAACAAGGCTATTTAAATCTTTTAAAAAAACTTTTTTTTAACAAATTTTTTTTACACTAAAATTACAATTGCCATGTTAAAGTAAAATTTTTCTCATGTTCACCCCCTTCTAGTGTAAAAAACACACATCTGATTGTCCACTTTACTATCAGCCTGGCAGACCTGTCAGATCACATGCATATTTGCCCTTTATATTCGAAATTGATCTTCTAAATAAGCAATGTCCTTTGACTCATGCTGTCTTGCGCATTGCCCCACTACCTGCCATGGTGAGCCCAGACGACCCCTCACATTTCCAATTTTGCCCACTTCTCCGACTCACAACCCCAGAGGCTGCTGGACAGGCGGGTCGGAGTGGAAGGGGCTAAAAAACGCCAGGGGGGAGTTAAGAAGGGATCAGGGGTGAGACGAGAGGCAGATGACTCAGTATAGGCAAAAGGCCAGATGATACAGGCATGCCTGCAGGGGTCGGGCTAAAACTCCTCGCTGTGCCTCTCAGGGCTTTCCAGTCCTTCCTCACACTGGGACCTTTTCTCTGGTACAATGGGTTAACTGATATCATCACCCACATGGCGAGAGATCACAGACTGGAACCTGCAAGGGGTTTGCTGTCAATCACCATTTAAGACAAACTTAAAGGGACAGCTTCACCCACAAATGAACATTACTCGCTCAATTTGCTGCACATCTGTGTGGCTTTTTGTCGAAATAAATGGGAAATATCTTCTGTTTCTATATAACAGTGCTGTCAATATAATGAAGCAAATGTGGAATTGACTTCTTTTTCGCATTTCTTGCACTTGAACAAACAGATAACTGAAACAGCTTCCAAAAATCACATGTTATAGCCCATTATATAGCCCATTTGAGGAAGAAATCAAATGTGTATCACTATTATTCCAATGCATTTGGTCTTAAATTTACAGTAGCCTAATGAACCTGCTACTGTATGTCAATATTATACAGCTAAAGAAGCAAGACGCAGAGCTCAGGTGTGGGTTTATAAAAAGAGATATTATAATGTAATAACGAACTTATTAGAAATAGGGAAAAAATATGTTAAGATAAACACTTGAAGATATATATATCTATATCTATATATCTATATATATATATATATATATATATATATATATATATCTATATATCTATATATATATATATATATATATATAACTCAGAATATTAGGGAAAAGCCACAATTAACGCCTCCTCTGCCAAGATATAACAGTAAATTTAATCTTAAACTTACATCAGTTCAAGAGTTCCCACTTAGATATGCTTTGCATTAATAGCAAGTTTGGCATGCTGTGCCGGGACAGAGCCCTAAGCTTGGAGATAATTGAGCCCAAGGCTCCTGCCCGGTCAATAAGCATATAAGGGAATCCGAGATCAGATAGGTCTTGAGAGCGTTGAAAAGGGAGCAAAAGGAGGAGATAGGGTGAAAGGGGGGATTCCTCCAAAATAAAGATAGCAAAAGGAAAAAAAGCGATCCATTTATTGAAAGCTTGGATCCATCTGATTGAATTATTACTGATTACAGATGAGCAGCCAGTCGTGCTCAATCATATCATGTGCACTTCTTGAAATTATTTTACGAAACTTCACTTGTGTTGATTTGAATTATGTGTAACTCTCACATGGTCACCCAAGCTAAGTAGAGCTGTGCCCGGTTAGTACCTGGATGGGAGACCACATGGGAAAGCTAGGTTGCTGCTGGAAGTGGTGTTAGTATGACCAGCAGGGGGCACTTAACTTGCGGTCTGCACAGTCTTCCGTATGAGACTTTAAACTAATGTTCTGACTCTCTGTCGTTGTGAAAAATCCCAGGTTGTACTTTGCCCACTGGCCTCCATCCATCATGGCCTTCTAACCATGCCCATATCATAATTAGCTACATCGCTAATTCAACAATCAGCTGATGTGTGGTCTGTGGTCTGCCGCAATATAGCAGCCGTTGCCTCATCTAGGTGGATGCTGCATACTGATGGTGGATAAGGTGATTCCCCCAAAAATGTGTAAAGCGATTTGAATGTCTAGAAAAGCGTTATATAAATGTAAGGAATTATTATAAAATAAAATAAAGTTATCATGCCAACTTTCTACTACAAACAAAAACTTGCAATTGGTTGCCCCGCCTCTGTGAACTTAGTTACTCAGATATTGGCAAGTATAAACTATAGAACTACATATAACTTTATTTCAATTGTTTAACAAAAAAAAAAAAAACATTCTTCAATCAAACCCGGACATTCAGTTCACAAGTTTTTTTTTAACGTTTTTGCTTTGTCTTTATTGTGAAAGTACAATATAAACTGACAAAGTAGAAAAAAGAAAGGGATGGGATCAGGAAAGGTCCTCAAATTGGGAGGTGAACTGAATTTGCCCATGGGAAGCTTGTGAAGCTAACCAATTGTAAGGAAATTGCTCCTTTAAATCTTTTAATAAAAATCAAACAAATTACAAAATGTCAAAATAATATGCGTGACACTGTTTAAACAAATCACAGAATTGAGAGCAGCAAATAAACACTTTACGGTAGTAGACAGACTGACATTTGAGGATCTAAGTTTTGCCGTAGTCTACTTTCACAATTCAGCTAAGGAATGTGTGATGACTCACAAAGCCAATGAGAGCTAGGATGAGCGAGGTTGTGCCGAATGTGCAGCGAATGATCTTAAAAAGCTCGTAGACCTTTCGGATAGGAGCGAACGCGAAGAGCGAAGGGCAGCCGCATCCCCCCGCTCTGCTCCCTGCTCAATAAAGCGCCTTTACTTCCACCATGAAAAACATGTCATTCCAGATGAGCTCAGCCAATGACATTTAAAACAGGCGCAGAGATATTGAATTAGTTCCCCATGATAAGCTGGCTGGGATGCTGATGCTCTGGTCAGAGGAGAGGGGGGGGCAGGAAGCGAACGCCTGCTGCAGCTGTTTGATTAAAATGACAAAAAACGTGGAAATGTCAGAGAGAGAAAAGCATCCTTCAAGACCACACTAAGGTAAAGTAAGGATAAAGACATGATGAAACCAGAGAAAAGAAGATGAGCAACAAGCAAAGTTTTTGTTACTAAATGCGTTTGAGAAAATTATGTAACCCAAAAATTACAATTTATTCACATTACTCTCATTCAAATCAAACTATTCCATAAAAGAAGCTTTTAACGTAAAACCGTAGCAGCCGAATCACACAGTAACTGATTTTGAAGATCGGAATCAGTTCAATGTCATGGTTGGATCGTTACATTGAGCCAGTTCAATATAAATGAACAGACTCTGATCTTGTTAACAAATAGAGCTAAATAAATTGTCCATGAATCAGTGTAATCTGGTTCTCTAGTTTAGCTCACTGACTCAATGATCTGAAGCAATTCCCGTTAACAGTTCACTGGAGGGGAAGATGAACAGTAAACTTAGATTTCCTCACCCAAGTAACATTTGAATCTAAATATAGTACTTGAGTGGTAGAACACTTCTTTTATTGTGCTTTTTGTCATCATTTTTATTTATTATGAACTTTATTTGTTTATTAAATAAATCATAAAGCATATGAGGTCCTATCAAATCTGTGTGTATTGGCTGTGTATTTGTACTTAAAAAAAAAAAAAAACAGTCTACATGATCTTATTCTACATCCCTAATCCTAATAGAAATATGTGTGATATCAAAATGTACAATGTTTATTTTGCTAGTGCATATTGTTAATCTG